ACATTTTTTGCCCCATACGGAACGACCTTTTTTTTTCTGCTGCGATTTCTGTATGGTGCGCAAAAAAATCTGGACTGTGTTTCATATTATTAAAAGCTAGACTGCTCGTAAGTACGCAATTAGCCAAACGTATTAGACCCCGAGACTAAAAATTACTTTTATGTGTGTTTTTCTAGTAACTGGGGTTAAATCTGCGGAACGCAAAGCTGCTCTCAAATGGTGGGAACAATGAACAGGTTTGTGTTTGGAAACTCATCTCATCTTTAAAATCACTTTCCCTTAGGAAACATTCTGGTTCAAAGTGTAACAAGCCTTGTTTTACTCTTGCTAGAATTTGACTCCTCAAAGATATCTTTTAGAGACGATCCGAGGAAGACCAAGCTCCGCGGAGAGATTAAAGCCAGACAATGGACGAAGTCGATCAAGACTTAAAGTAATATTTTTTCAGTAATAAACCCTCTGAAGTGATACGTCTATGGGCGCCTGTAGCGTACTTGCCACACCATTGAGCTAGGCACTGTGACATTTGCTTTCAGATGGCTTATTAGAACCTTCCAGTATTTTATACTCGGTGTAAAGCTTTTTATCTTTGTAGATATAGATGTTGATTTTTTAGTTACAAGATCGCGACACTTAAGCGCTGTTTGCGCATTATCTCCATAATACGGATCTCTTTTTAGGAAGATCAGTGATCACATATCTACTTATCAGGGCGTGGAGATATTAATAGTGTTACATTAAAGCATAATTAATTAAAACAAGATAATGGTGCAAAAAAATCGAGAAAAAGAAATAAGAGCAGGAATTCCTCGAGCACGCAAGACATCTCAGCCTTATCGAGAAGGTCTGAGGTTTGATTTTTCGCAGGGAACACAGATATTTCTCTTTTGTTCTGCGCTTGTGACGAGAGTAATCGTATCCTTATTTGCTTCAATCTGTTTGTAAATACATTGCGACCATACACCATACAATGCCAAATAAAAAACAATGGAATAATACGTAGATGCGTTTACTAGTAAAAAACTTTATTTGGATATAAGAATCTACTTTTAGTTCAAGAGCATTTGATTTGTGATAAAAGACAGCACTGATAATGATAATAACATGTAATAAAAACAATTTAAGTAATCACAAGAGCATGTTCCCTTAAAGCAGTGTTATCCTACGCCTACCGGAATAATCTGCGAAGTACGTATGTACGGTTTTAAATCAAAACACCATAATCCGCTTATCCACCAAGCCTCCTCTCTCCCTGTGATCTTGTAAAGGACACAAATAGGTTATCAGTAGAATTTATTTGTATATTTTTTTGTTTTAACACACAAACAGAAAACCTCTTCATTGTCAACTGGTCAACAGAAAAAGCATTGTCGTGAGAGACGTTCCCACGGTGTGGTTTGAATACTATGGGAAGTTGGTGAAAACTAACCTCATTTTAATTCGTCTTGTGATGATATCTGGAAAGCAAATTCTTTTCAAGCATGACAAGGGTATTGAAAGATACCCATGTGATGAGATGCCCAATTATAACAATCGATCCTTAGGTATTGCTAAATTAGGAAAGAACATTAAGAAACGCTGTTGTCAAAAACTGGAACTTAGCGTGACTGAGCGATACTCGATCCTTTCATTGTAAAGTATTTTGATTATTGCCGTATACGTGTAAAAATGTTGAGCTTCAGAGAACGCCCAGTAACACACCGGATATGAAATGTGGAATCGGTCTGAATACGTAAGCACATCTATTCCATACATAAAAAAGAATTGCCAACTTGAACCGAAAAAAGAGTAAGATCACAGTACTTCCACCATGGAATTAACGCTTTTTCTTGGAGTCGTTGTTTTTCTTCCATTTGTGGTCAAAGGTAAGATGATTTTTCTGTTTGAGTCACGCACTCGCATATGTCAACGTCTAACTTAAGTATCAGTAATAATAATCTAGGCACCGGTTTCTACAATCCTTAGTCAAAAGAACAGAAGTAAATAAATTCCAATCCTAGATCTTTAAAACTGTGAAACGCTGAGGAATAGTTTCGACTGGACTGCACTGCTATATCCGCGCTTGTGCTCTAAACAACCACAAATATCAAGAAAGCCTTAATTTCCCTTTCGACGGTTCAGAATTACGATATTTAGATTTAAGAGATGATGGGACTAATCAATGCCGCGTCTATGTTCTACGGTAAAAACAAAGATCTATTTTTAAATGAGCTTAAAAGGTCCTTTCGTTAACCGCTACCAGAGAATGAATGGTATTACATTTGTTCAATGATTAAGAGATTTTGAGAGCAGATTTTCTCACCCGACGACAACGCTTTATCGGCCCTCATACCAGTTCGTAGAACATCATACCAGTTCACAGAACTGCGGCAAGTCTCAATTTTATAACTGGAGCCATCGTCTTTCATTGCAGTTAAAGGAGGGAATAACTGCTGAATATTTGTTTCCGAAGCTTCTAGAAATCATTGTAATAAGTCATTTGTGATCTGCTTGTACAGTTTATGCCGCGGACTGCTCATGCTACACATTCCACGAAGACGGGCTCACATGGACTGCGGCCAGACAGTCGTGTCAATCTAACGGAGGAGACCTTGTCTCCATGGAAACACCACATGAATGGCAAGTTGTAAGAGATTACATCCAAAACCTGACGAACAAGTTCAACAATGACTGGCATATCGGTTTGCGAAGGAACACCACAGTGATAGGGAACTGGACCTGGACCTGGGTGAATGGAAAGCCACTAACCATTAACCACTGGCAGCCTTGGCAGCCTCGAGATGGTGCGCCGTATGTGGTGATGGCGAAAAACTACCCGCCGGGAACTAGGGGGCTTTTTAATGACATAAGAGGAAACATTTTCGCCGGCTTCATCTGCGAAATACCCTCTGGTGTGTGCGTTGCTTTATTAAATATTGTTCGGCCATTGGTATCCTGTTTTGCATTATGTGTGTGTCTGTCTGTCTGTCTGACAGGGTAATTTAGTATTATCAACTGAGTTGATAACGTGAAAGAGTTTCAAAGCTGACGTTCCGAGCGTTAACCCTTCGTCAGCGCGATGGCGATCTCTCTGATGAAAGGTGAACGCTCGAAACGCTCGAAACGCTCGAAACGTCACCTTTAAACTCTTTAGGGTTTAAAGCTAACCCTAACCCCAAGCAACCCTAAGCAATTTACTGGCCAATTTACGTTATCAACTCAGTTGATAATACTAAATGATCCTGATGTGCTCTCTTACAGACGCAGCACAACAGTTTCTTTAGAAACTTACCCCCTTTATTCGTTTGTCTGACAGACTCCTTGTTGGTTTTTTTAGTGTTTATTCGTAAGTTTGTTACTTTGTCGCATTCCAACACACCCACGCCAGCCCCATCCTATATCCAAAAGGAAATCCTGTTAGGGGTGGGGATGTGTATAGAAATGGGATTAGTTTAGTTTGAAATCTTCGGCATTAGCTACAGTAACTCGTTAGCATTCCAGACTGTTTATAACGCATGATGACCTCATATGAGCTCTGTCTTAGATTGATTACAACCGTGTATTTGACTTAAATGTGGATGTCAACTATTCTACTTTGTGTATAACAAGGCGCAAATAAGTAACCAAAAGTAAAGTGACAGCACTCAAATCAAACCCATTTTGTTCGAAAAATTATTTAGAACTGCTAAATATATAATGCAGACAGATATAGCCTGGGTAAAGGAATACGAGCAGCTACGTAAAGACACACTCGGAAGAAAAGAAGACGGGTGTTGCCATGAGGGGAATTTCACAAACCGGACAAACACGTTGAATTCTTTGCCACTTGCCCTTGTATATAACTAATTGTGGAACTCGTTTCACAGAGTGTTCAAGAAGTGGTTTAACCTGCAAGATCACTGAAGTATTCAGAGCAGTTCCATCTGGCACAAGTAGCAAACAAACGCCACCGACGTTGAGAACTGAAAAAAACACGCGAGCCAGCAATACTGATATTATTTCCATGGTAAGAAAAGGTAAGGGATATGTTTCACAGAAACGTGAATTCATGTTTTTAATTAGTATTTTTTGTGCGAATTAGAACCGATCGAGTAGCGATCAACTTGAGCACAGTGACCACCAGTTTTGTCACTGACTACAAATGTCAGTTACAAGAAAAGTTCAGACAGTATCTTAAATATTACACCGTACTCATTCGATTAAAGCGCCAACGGCGAAGCGGGAGTCACACCCACACAAACGGAAAACTAGTGTTTGTTCTGCTGGCCGTATTATGATTTTTTTGCCCCACAGCTGAATAGGTGCTCTAATTTATCCTCTCCACTAAACTTTCTCCGTCCCCTAAACGTTTTCATTTATTTTTGTTTTCTTTTTCTAATTCAGTTCAGCCTCCTGCCGGCTTCATCCATTGGACAATCGCAATAATTCCGCTCGTTTGCGTGATACTGGTCTTAGTTTGCGTCATTGGCTTCCTTCTTTGGCGCTTGAAAATGAAAACACGCAAACAAAACGGCGACATAACTGCACAGCCATTTTATTATGACGCACAGACACGATCTCTTCGCAAACAGGATGATGGGGCAAACAATTTCCGCGAAGTCAACAAGCTAAAAGTGCATTTTCAAGACTCGCCTGATTGCGAAGATCAGAACTATCACCTGTTACAGCGATCGGCAAACAATGAAAACAGAAACGTTCAATACGCTTCCCCGTGCAAAACTCCTGGAGAACTCTCAATCTCCAGGCGGTTAGCAATAAGACGAAAGAGCAGCGATGAACTCAAAGGTAAATACCCGCTGAATAAAGGCAGAGAAAATAGAGAGGTGACAAAAGACTACAGTGCATTAAAAACGGACTCAACTGAACAGAACAACGAGAGTGATAATTGTCGTGCTTATCAAGCTTTGGTCACCGATTACGAGGAACCTGTAAACATCATTTTGGCTGGTAAGGAAAATGCTGAAAGTCATAAGTGCTCTGAAGACGAACTGTCCTATCTTGAAATAATTGCATGACAAAACTACTCTTTCACTTCTTTATTCAGAACATTTATTTTCGATAAAAGTTATCATATATAAACCAGTTACCATTATACACGATAGCCTGCAAAGGGAAAGAACCGCCGCTTGTGCTAAATCATGTACAGTTTCTTTCAATTATAATTACAATCCTTGCTTTGTTTATATACAGGACTGTATCTTAAAATCTATGTTGTATATAGGTTTTGTCATAGGAGAAAATCTTCTGTCAGAAAAAAAAATACTATTGTACTGTTTTCATTCCTATTATGATCTTATTAACTTCTGTTTTAATCTTCCAAAATAAAACAAACGAATGAAGATTCCTTGATTTATTGGTCAAAGTTACTTTCAAAAATATTTTATTCGTTTCTTAAACGGGTATTTTAGAGTTATGCCAAGGTGTCAAACATTTCATTAATTTGAAATCTGTAGTCTCACCCTCTCTCCGTTGTGCAAATCAGTGGCTTATTTTGGTTTCAGTTTCATGGGGGTCGATAGAAAAATACTCTTATTCATGAAATCTATTCGAAATATCATTCCTTGACTTCAGCATTTGAAAATGGCTGAGTATATTTCTACTATCCAAAAAGAACTTGTGCCAGAAGAAAGTTGCTGTCCTGTAGAAGAAAATAACTTGTGGAAATTCTCGAAGTTTTCGAAAAATCGTCACGAAATTAGCTGATCGTCCCACCTCATCTAAACCAGTGACTTTAAAAGTAAACTGAAGGGATCCAACTACAAAGATTGTAGAAGTTTGCACGAAAAATACCAGTAACGTGAATTTGAGGAGTATAAAAACAAAGTAGTTACGCCTTCGTCTAATTCGATTTATCGGCGTAAAATTTAGCACGAAAAGGATTGCAAGGAGTGCTAATCCGTGCATGCAAAACGCAGCTACGAGACATACTTGTATATGAGTTAATTTGTTAAAATACATAATTATTGTAAATCCCACGATCTGCATTGCATGCAATGCCATCAGACTCCAAAATGCTGGCATTCGGACGGCTTTTTTCAATATTGCGCGAAATCCCATAAATTCAGGCACTTTTCTCAGGGCAAATGCTGTCAAGCCAATGCTTATGTCCTGGGAGACCAGCCATGTCAGTTCAAGTTCTTTAGAGTGAGGAATTTTTGTAAAATTTGAGCAACTAAATGTTGCGTGTCGATCCCTTAAACAGCAATCGTAGGCACGCAGGAAGTAAAGAACTGTCCCTATAATCTGCCACAGGAGAAGAAGAACAAAACAGCAACGGGCAAGGTTGCTGAGAAGCAACTTCGATTTGTCGCAAAAACGGTCTTGTTTTTTCGTTTGCGAGATTATCAAAGGTAAGGTTTCCATCCAGGATGCCAGTTAGTTTACAGAACTAACCATTTTATCAAAGTGCTTCAGGTGGATTTTGCTTCTTTCCTGTTAAAAAACGAAAAGGTTTTAGTTAAAGATCCAAAACTTTTTGCGTTCCAATTTTCATAAAATAAAACAAAAAGACAGACTTTGTTAGAACATGAGTAAGCCTCATTTCAAAACATAACTCATACAGCTGATACTGTGATCGCAGATCATGTTCTCTAATACTTATCTTTATGCTTATTATTCACATTCCTTTTATTGTTTTTCATTTTCGAACGTCATTTCGTTCGTAAAAAATTAATCAGTTCTTTAATTCTGAATCATTGCGGCAAAAGTTGAAGTTAAAATAAAACACACCCCAACCCCTTGTTTTAAATTAACCTAAAGAAGTTTGAACAATCAATGTCTCGCCTTCTTTATTATCTTTCAAACAACTGTGAACGACTGAATCTGTTTGCAATCTGCTTCACTAGCGCTCGTAAATGCGCGAGAGTTTTGTCATGTTTTTTAAAATGGATCAAAGTTTCCCCTGAGCCATAAAAATCGCCCGACAGATTGTTACCAATCGTACGGTAATTAATTATATTCAACATTTTGTGTGATGGATCGATCGACCCCCCAGGTTGAAGAATATTAGGGTCACCGTTAATCAAGGGGCGGTGGGTAGACCTGGAAATAAAAAAAAACTAAAACAAAACAAAAAAATAAGTAAACGAGACGTTCACGAATCTGTTCTATGAACGAACTCACCTGTGAACCGAGAAGGAGAGGCCAAATGGTATCCGCAAGAATAAACTACTTTAACAAACTGTCTTAGTTATCAGCTATCGGATGATCCTGATATTTATTCACGCCGCTAGAAACTGAAACTTTTACCAAATGTCTTGGCATTTTCATTCTGTTGTTTGTTTTTGGTGAAGAAAAATACTTGTTCGTTGTTACGTTGGTTTTGATCCAACTGCTGGCGAGGGATGAAATGAAAAAGTCAAAAGCAAACGAGAGGTTCACGAATCTGTTCTATGAACGAACTCACCTGTGAACCGAACGAGAAGGA